GCTTAAATATACTTTCTCGACATTTTTATCACAGCTGCTTGGCAAGCTGCGATCTATATTGCACTTTTTGGGTGTGACGCAGTAGGCGTGTAGTCCCTGACTCGGCTGACTCTCGCCTTCGCCTTCGCTCTCGCCTAGAGACTAGTTTTAAGTCGTTCGAAACATGTAACGTTTAGATTTCAGATTGAAATAACGTACGGAAATGTGATAAATATTCACTTTAACTCTGATCCTCGATGCTATAGAATAATAGACCGCACGTTCTATCATCGCACGTTTCTATCTCGAATTTCTAACAGGGTTGAAAGCCGGCCATAAAACAATAGCGGTATCCAGAATCTTGGGGAAACACACGCTTCTATATCGTGTGAATCATTGCTACAGATGCGTCAAGAAGAGAACTTTCCCCTGTCTCTCACCGATAAACTCATGCGTCATTGTGAAAATATACGCGCGACACACAATTGCTCTGTACATATATCATACAATAAATAAAAATTTTTAAATAATATTTATATTTTATATCAAACTAGAATAAAATAAGAACAGATTGATGAATTTTTATCATCATTTCATCATTAAACAAACTATGCAAGATGTACAGCTCAAACAATGTAATTATAATCTGAGTGCATTATACAAATATTCTGGAAACGTAAACAAATTTTTATATTCATTTTTACGTTTATTTATTTTTATTTTGTTAATTCGAAAATTATTATCAAGATAATAATGTATTATTATCAAGATATAAAGTATGCGCAATATATTATTGATTCTATAAATTAAAGTCTCAAATAACTTTCCCACCAACTTCGACATAATTATTAACTGTAATATCTCGCATTAATCAATTTCAGCATTAATCAATCTCGATAACGAACAATCGCGATAACGACTACTGGCTTCGCGACGTATTTCGAATTGGCCGAATAAACTTGTGCCCTGCATCGAACAAACCGAAAGAGCCGTGGAACAAAAGAAACGCGATGCATGTAATCGCGAAAGAAAAAAAAATGAAGAAATGAAGAAAAAAATTTCTACGTCGCAGGAAATTCGTTCACGCGACGAAACGCGACGGATCCCTCGCGCGATCCATTTGTCACGATCGCCTGTGCGAGGCCCCGCCGTCCGTCTCTTCGTCCGCTCGTCCACCGGCCTCTCGGCCCCGAAAAAAAATTCGCTCATCCTTCGTTCCTCGGCGTCGTATCTACCAACGGAGTGGCGGTCGTCGGGAAGTAGTGCCCAGCAGACGACGCCCAAAACGAGACGCGTGTATCCCTACGCCACGCACGGTGTGCGTGGGTTCTCCATGCACGCATGCACGCACGCACACGCGCGAGTGCGCGCGTGCGCGTTCTGCGCCCGTCCGTCCGTCCGTCCGACTACGTTCTCCGATTTAGCGAGAATCACGCCTCGCCAAATGCAAAATTCTGCCGTACATTCTTCGCTCTCCTTCTCCTCCATTTCGATCGTCAGATGCGAGCGCGTCGCTCTCGAAGAAAATCGGCTTGCGTCTCTCGCGTGTTAACGTATCGCTTGCAAACGCGATTCGGGTTTCGTTGTCGTTCCCGTTGCAACAACGTTTGGCAACGTCGTGGCAACGCGTCGCTCGCTACGTCCCCGTGTAGCGTAACGCGATTTTCGCAGACTTTCGTTAGGTGCCTTGCGCACAGCGGAGGAAATATTAAATTTTGGAAATGAAAATTCGGAATAAAGATCAAACGTAAATGCACGTAATGAATACAAGTAAGTATAAGGATATGGCCGTATATTATACTTACCCGTACCCGTATTGTATTGCGTTTAATTTTTATTCCGAATTTTCATCTTCAAAAATTTTATTCCTGTTTCTAATATTTCCTCCATTGTGCGCAGAAGCTTCGATATTTATCTGTACCGCGTCTCTTTACAACTATATATATATTTCTATGTCTATCGTTTCTTTATGATAACAACTGACGTGCGGGATTAGAATCGCCAGATGCGATGAACAATATGTTACGCTCGACGTTCGCTCGCGCGAATCGCGCGATAACAAACGTCGCGATCTGCGTTGGCGTTGGCGTGCTGCGAGGTCGGATTCGCGAAACAATTGGGCTGGGTAATGAGAATCACGCGCGCGAGTGCAATGAGAGGATGTGCTGATTGGGATGAATGGCTTGTATTGTCGGGAGGGCAAAAAGTGGCCCTCGGAGCTTTTCTGTCGAGGTCTCGGAAGTAGCGTGATGTGTTCCCGTTTCCTCCCCTCCTCCCTTCCCCCAAAGAAAGCGAAATTTCTACATATTTTATTTCCTCCAAAAAATATTAATCATCAATCGTCATTTTCGAGAGAAATTATAACGACTCTAACAGCGATCTGACATCGAGATTTCAAATTGGAACATCTCTCATGATCATCGACGATCGCTACGCGGCGCGTGTCCTTTTTTTCCCCTGGATTTGCCAAATGTCTTACACGATTCCCCGCTCGTGCCAGGCGCTTCGTATAATTTTCGCAAAATTAGCGCGTAGGCGCGGCAACGTATACGAACTCATCGGCATTAATTGATCCTATGGCAAACTCTCGCGGCGGCGTGGCGAGGCGCGAGACAATGCGAGCGGCGTGGCGGTTGTCTCCTCGTTCGCCGCCTTGTATTGTCAGGATCGGGCAGTATCGACGCAATTATTAATTACGCAAAGATAACACGAAGTACGGGGTGGAAGGGAGGGAAGGCGGGGGAAGGAAGGAAGTGATATGCTACGTTCGCACATGCTTTATCGATACGAACGACGCAACTAATCCCGAAATGACAGTTCGCTCATTTGCGCGAATATTTGCGTCAACGACGTACTATCTTGCGTCAATCTTGGGACTGATATGACTCTGTTTCCGCGAGTGAGCGGACCGCCTTGGTGACGAATTGGTAAACAAGTCTAGCGATTCTATTACACAAGTTCGCTCGCGTTTGGTATTTTGCTTCCGCGCTATCTCTCGTCGATCTTTCCGCGAATCGTTTTTAACGAGGGAGAGAGTTTTCTCGAGATGTACTGCTTTTCTTTAATTCTTCAAGAATCAAACGAAAGACAAATGTTGTTCCAAATTCTTCTCCTCGTTCGATCTTACATATATATCTCTTGGGATCTCGTTCCTATTTGTATTGATCGTTTTTCATATGATCACGTATATAAGATTTGTCTGTGTTTGTGGGACTGTCTCGTTCGTTATTTCGAATTCGAAGCTCGTATCGAACTCACAGCTCGTCAATCGACATTCGCGCAATTAATGGGCGCGATAAAACCAAGGCGAAGTCTGCTCGGACGAAGAGAGACGGCGCGCTCCATTCGAAGTGAACGTACGCGAATCCGGTCTATTATCGCTCGAAGTAGCGCGAAGTCTTTTATCTCAACAATAACACACGCGATTGCCGGCGCGATTACGCTCGCCGGAGACTCGCGTGGCAACGCCGACGTTATCAGCGCGCTGCCTTTTTTATCGTGCATCGATACACGCGCGAAGGAAACGCGACCCTTGAACCAGATACACTCATCTCGTCGCGTCATCGAGGGACGATGACGATCTCCGAGAACGAGAGAACGAGAGATACGCCTAGCGTGCGAAATATCGTCTAGAAATTGACGTCGACCGCCGTCGATTGCCGTTTTTAATTTCGGGTCTCGTCCAGGTCCGAGTCGCTCGCGAGGAGGAAGTTCGCGAGTCCGAAACAGGAAACGCGCGGTTCTCACGCTCGTCATCGCCGGCGTTCGCGAGCCCGACGGCAGGTCATGTCATTCGCTGACGCTCCAGATTCGAGATCTCGCGTTACATCCGATCCGATTTAGCGGCTCGAATCCGTGCCGGATGGCAGAGATTCCGCCGGTATCCTATCAACCCCGTGATCGACAAAACGCCGAGATTTGTTCTTTTTTTTTTGTTTTTCATATATGCTCCCTTTCTCCGCCTGCTCGCGATATCCCTTTCTCTTCCCTCTCCCAAATCTTCCTTTGTTTTTTATATATAATTCAAAAGCGGAAGGAAACTGTCTACTGTCGGCTTGCCGCATTTTTCAGAACGTAGCTCCACCTGGAACACGAATCAGTTTCAAAATTCGATTAGCGTTTCGGCTCGGTAACTTCGGAGTCTTCCACGTGTCTTTCGCAGACAGTGTCCTTCACGTCGTAACGGACACGCTGTTGAGTAACGACACGCAGGTTGCACGCACGATGACGCACGCGGCTAAAGCGGAAGATAGCCAAATCCATGTTCCCGACAAATTTTAACAAAATCCATTTTATCGACGAAATCGACAGCAGCAATTTAATAGAGTACGATAAAATAATTTCAGAAATTGTTATTTTGTGCGTTTAAATGAAATAAATCATTTAGATGGTTACGGTTGATAGATTCCGCTTGTTCTCCATTGGCAATCTGCTGTCAGATTACATCAGGTATTGCTGGCGGAACACGCGGATGCAGTTGATGTCAATTTGCTATGATATCCTATTGAAGAACCGTTGATATACCGTTGACATTTGCTTATACATCGTGATCGATTAGTTCTCGCGATTCAAGGCACTGATGATTCACAACTTTCCATTTTCATTCCTTATTTTTTTTTAATGGAAATCGCAGCTATTTCAGAAAGATTGTAAAAAGTCTCCGAAATTTCCATTTGTATATTTGACTTACAATTAGATGGTAATAAAATATATTAAGACTAAACACAAGTCTCATAATTATTTATTAAATCTTATCAGGAACAGAAAATGTAAATGAACCTATTTAAATGTAAAACACTTAGAAAAATAATCTTTAAGTGATTCATTGATTTGGTAATTTTCATTGATATAAACTCTGAATTGTTATTATTATTAAGTAAAACATTAACAACTTTTTCTTTGGTATAAAAAAACTCTAAATTATTATTATAAATAGAATATTAAATATAAGCTCAAAATCAGGAAATCGCGAGTATTTACATTTTACATTTCTCATATGTAATGGACTCGCGATTAAAAAAAAGTTCGAAAAAAAAAATACTATAATCTTCTCAACAACAATCATCAGAAAAGGAATATCATGCAAAAAATAAAAGACAATTTCATTATTCCTAGAAATAGAAATTCTTGGAATCTCCCACGATCTCGCACATCTCGGTCGAATCAAAGAAGAGGATCTCTCGCGTCGCCAAAATAATTAAATAATTCGACCTGTTTTCCGTCGACTATCGTGATGAAGCGACCCCGATAGTATCTCGAGCGAGAGATAGATCTCACTTCGTCCGGACACGCTCCAGAAATCGGCATGCTCGCACGCGCGCGCGCACGTTTGATATCAGCTGATTCCTCCCCTCTCCACGGACGCCGTGTCATCCCCTCCCCTCCCTGCCGGCCCCGCACTGCGGCCACGCGTTCGGCCAAGCGCGCTGAGCCCCGAGCCATGTCCATTCTGAACGCTTCTGCTAGATAATAGTATTGCGCGCATTACAGCACACGAGTGTTTTTCCGCATTTATCGACAACAAAGAGGCCTGGTCGCGGCGACAGAGCGACAAGGGAGAGCCTGTCATCGTCGTCGTCGTCGTCGTCGTCGTCGTCGTCATCATCGTCATCATCGTCATTGTCATTGTCATCGTCATCGTCATCGTCATCGTCATCATTGTTGTCATCGTCGTCGTCTCGCACTCATGGCAGATCATGAAGTTGTCCAGGCGAAAAGGTAAGAGGAAAGAGGATACGTGGTCTTCCGAAGGATCATATTTTGCGCGTTCCGAGCCGCGATCGTATCACGCCGCGATTACGTCATTGTTACGGCGGTACGACAGATTCGTTGCGCGTGTTTTGTGTCAGGGGCTCGTTTTGCGTTCCTTTGACAGATTGACGGCGAATCTATCGTGTGTGTTTGAAAAACACGAGCTGAACGCCGAAAAAGCGTGTGATGATCGAGCCGCTTCGATCGCGAGGGGTGTAGCTTTTCTCGGAAAGTCTCGAGGCCGTCTTGCGACTAGATCCCTCGTGATTCACGCTAAATTCGCGGTTACAGACGGAAGCGTAATAATTGGCAGTCTCTATGACATAACCGCTATTAATACACATCATTCTCGTATGTATCTACCTGTCTCGGTGCACAAGCATGATGCGACATAAATCGGTATCGAAAACTTCAATCCATCTCGGTCTCAATTTCGATATAATTAAATAAGTTTCGTGAAAATAATGATGATTTTTTTTTATCGTCACAGCAGCTGGATCTGGGGATGGTTTAGCTGGTCTGGATCATCTTCAACCATGTTACGTGCTGCGGAAAAGAAGATTCTGTCGTGTAAGCGAGACATAATAAAATGAGCATTTTAACAATCAAATCTGAATTCGACTGAAATTTATAGATTGATCATTTAATTGAAATGTTGCAGGTTTGAAAACAGCATATCGAGGATGGTTCGTCGACATTGGGCCGGTGGTGGGTCCGGCGGACAAGATATGGACTATTTCACTGAACGAAGAATCGCCGAAAGTACCAATTGTTTTATTACACGGTTTAGGAGCTGGAGTAGCATTGTGGTGTTTAAACTTGGATGCGCTCGCATCCCAGAGACCAGTGTATGCCATCGATTTGTTGGGTAAGATGCAAATGTTTAAAAACGTCGATTTTATGTGCATGATTTCATATCCTTAATTTATATGTCATCAATAAAATTTTGATACAACGTAATCTGACAATTCTCCAAAGTTCTTTTTGTCATTTTTGTCATTAATCACTTGATAGATATACATGACTCATTTATATGACTAATCAAGTGACCTTTGAAATTGTATATACGTTATATACTTGACATATGAATCTCTGTTATTTCTTCACAACAAGATATAAATATTTTCAATGATAATCTTTATTAATTGGTAACATATCTCTTATTCATATTCTTTTTCTTTAATTTCTAGGATTTGGCAGGAGTAGCAGACCTGTTTTTAATAGTGAAGCGCAAAAAGCCGAAGAGCAGCTAGTATGTTCTGTGGAAGAATGGAGAAGAGAAATGCAGCTGGAGAATTTTGTGTTGTTAGGTCATTCGATGGGTGGCTTTCTTGCGGCATCTTATGCTATGCGATATCCCGAAAGAGTGAAACATCTTATACTAGCCGATCCATGGGGCTTTCCCGAAAGACCATCTGATGCTGCTACAAAGGCAAATGTACCGTTCTGGGTTAAGGCCATAGCATTTGCGGTGCAGCCTTTGAATCCTCTGTGGGCAGTGAGAGTTGCTGGACCGTTCGGTTAGTATTACTCTGTGAATATATACACACAATGTACACTTATATTTTCTTTACACTGTAAAATGTTGGTTATAGGACAGTGGCTTATCGAGAAGACGAGGCCTGACATTGTAAAGAAGTTTTCTCCTCTACTAAAAGACGATACTGCTATAATTTCACAATATATACATCAGTGCAACGCGCAAACACCGTCGTAAGTTGCAAAATAAATATTTCGTTATAATTTAAACCAATTAGTCGTTATAATTCTATGTTATATTCAATTAACAGAGGTGAGAGCGCGTTTCACGCGATGATGCAAGGTTTTGGATGGGCAAAAAATCCAATTGTTAAAAGAATGGACAAGTTGAGTGATGATATACCTATAACATTACTTTATGGTAGTAGATCATGGGTTGACAATTCAGCTGGTGAAACGATTAAACAATACAAATCTTCGTCATACGTTAACGTTCAGGTGCGCTAATAATGATAATTAAATCGTAAATTGTTATGTGAAACGAATAGACTTGCGACTGTTGATACAACGTAAATTATTCTACAGGTGATAACTGGAGCTGGTCATCATGTTTATGCAGACAAAAGTGAAACCTTCAACAAATATGTATTGGAAGCGTGCGCCTTAACTGATTCTGTACCTCATTTAACATCATCGAACTTACGTTCATATATTAATACCGTTAGTGATCAAGAAGTAAATATAACTTTATCCAACGAAGCGCTTGAAGACCGAAGACCAGAGGAAAAAAATTTAAACACGTCAGAACCGACTAAGATTTAATTAAAGTCTAGTTAAAATTTAATTAAAGTTTGGAATATTCTTGTAAAATAAGATATTTCAGTTTTGCTAGCTGGTACAAAGAAACTAATATATTGTGATGTAATTAAGAATGCCCCGTGAGATATGTGAAATATTCGAATGTACAATTTTGTCGTAACACATCAGCTTTATGTAATTTAGACGTAATAGTGTGAATCGACGGACACTAATGACTGTTAATTGCTTGACTGTAAATATTAAGATTTCGTGAAATAAGATACACTATTTTCTGTTTTGGAAATTATATGACAATGTATTCTTGCAAATACGCGAAAAATGTTCAGATGAACAGAAGAATAGAAAGTGAAGAATAAAATGTGATCTTGCCATAAGTAAGATTTATATAAATTTTTAATGGATTAAACGCAATCGATTACAAGTCTATTATCTAGTGGTAAGAAATTTATGTAAATCAAAAGGGATCAAGTACTCGTATAAGATGTAATTACATAAAGGAGGTTTGTACATTGTGTACAGTCTTAGCTTTACTAACATAAAGGCCATCAGTAGCATTTAGCAAAGAGTGAGCATTCTTATTGTTATTGTTATTAATTGTATCACTTCATAGTTGTAGCAAGATTTTATGTATATTGTACAATACGATTTATTACTAATAAATTATTTATTGTACACATATGTACAGAAAGTCGAGCATTAGTATTATATTTATATTGAATAAATATTTTTTTCAAGTTATTTTAAAATCATTTTTGCGTCTCATCATTGAAGTCTTCGATATAACCGATATCGTTTTCGTATTCTTCATAATCAAATTCCTCCATCTCTTCTTCAAAATTATTTAACAGTTCCCGTTTATGCGATTGTATCAAACGCTTCCTACGTCTTTCCTCTCTTCGTTTCTTCATTAAAAACTCAGAAAAGACCTTTTCTTGCTCTTTTCGGGTTAGATACTCGACTTTCTTTGAGACTAGATTCTGAGAGTTTTCATCCGTATTAGTATTTGTATTCAATATTTGCCTTTGTGCAGCCTTATTCGACTTGGAGACCGCAGCGGTAATCTGTAACAATTAATTAAACATGTCTTTCATTCATTTCTCTCTTATTAATAAAATCAAATATAGATTACCTGAGACATGATTTTATGATGATCTAATCCTAATACATCGTGTCTCATTTTTGGTAATTGTATATAAGAATCATCTATCTCAGACTCGCGGTTTGCAATTGATTGTTTACTTAAAGTCTGGTCGGCATTGTCAGGAATATTCAATTGATCTTGTTCAAAACATGAAGTTTCATTATTCTCCTGTTCAAACTGTTCGATCGCTGCTAATCTTTTCTCGACTTCCTTCTGTATAGCAAATTGTTTGTTTTGTACAAACTGGATTGGCGGCACTATACCTATGACACGAAGCTGCGATAATTCATGCCGTATAATTTTGGCACACCTCTGCAATGCTTCTTCATCAATGAGTGCATTATTACTAGGTATCCAAAATACATTGACCAACTTGAAATCTGGAGTTATTTTCACATGAGTAATCTCTACATCTCCTTTTAAGATATCATCCACTTCTCCCATCGACATCATGTCTGTTATGTGTTCCATGAAAAGCTTGTCTCGGATAATCATTCTGCGTCTTGTATGCAAGGAAGGTGCATTATTGGTTGGATTAATGTTAACAGTACTGCGTAAGTCTGTGTTATTATCATACCACTTTCTGCAATATGAACATATTTAGTTGCATTAACAGAGATTTAAAATTTTTTTATTTATCTAAAACGATTTGTCTTACTTTTTCGATTTGTGACTTCCATGAATTATTTTCTTCATAAATCTACTTTCTCTATGGATATTCAAGCACGCACTGGACGTGCTAACGCATCTAGATATTTGAAGACACATAACAAGATGCTGTACACCTTGCATTTCGATTATCAATACGACATTTAGCCGGTTTCGGCTATCAAAAGCTGTTGAAGAGAGAAATTTTTTTGTGGAACTCGCGAGATAATAGATTTGCTCGTTTCGGAAAACAGAGCTGCACTTTTCTGCACTTTGCGCGTTCAGAATGAAATAAATTCGATCTTTAAAAAAGAAAAAGGAGAAATGATAAGGGATAAAGTAATGGAAATAAATTTATATAAGAAATATCTTTATTTTATTAAGTTTTAGAATGCAGTAAAATGCAAATTATGGTTAATAAAGGTTAATGATTAATAAAGTTGTATGAATAGTCATGTGAACTATGAAAATGGAAATTCTTAAAAAAATGAATATGTATAATCAAATAGGAAGGAGCATTATATGTAAAATTTAACAATTTTAATAATTCTCAAAGTAAGCTTAAAGCAAAGGATATTATATTATCGCATTTTTACTAAATACTCGAGTACCTGACCTTATTATATAATTTTATTATATAATTTTTTATCTATCTTACGCATCACTCAAGAGAAAATTTTGTAAATTTTATTGTAAATATCTTTTTCTATTATTAAAGAAAGGCGGTTTTTGTAATTATATTCGAAATATAAGAATGTAGAAAAATATGAAAATTAGAAAATTATTTCATCGTCCAAATAATTTCATAAAAATATTTCATTAAATATTTGACATACAACGACATATCTTATAATTACCATATATAATGACAATGCAAATTAATAAAACAATGAAATAAAAAAAATGCTCCTAAGATTTTTCACAAAAGTAAAACTAGAATTTCCTGAACATGGGTTATAAGTAGAGAGCAGAACTTTGTCAATATACAGATTATCAATGAACTAGATAGTAACAAATATTCTTTACAGGATTATAATGTAAAATATAAAATATTAGTACCCGTCTTCTTACGTTTCGTTTTGTCTTTTAATATCGTTTCTTTTTTCCTAATACTGAAACTGGATATGGAACTGAAACTGAAATTAGAAGATATATATATATATATACAGATCAGAATGAGATAGAACCAATAAGAGCCATATTGTACTGAAAATATATATTAAAATAAAAATCGTTTACCTTCTCTTTCTCGTATAATCTGCATTCTTCTATTTTTAAGTTCTTGAGATAGATTCTCGATCATACGATCAATAAAATTATCTAAAACTAATGATCTAATCATTGACATTACTGGTTTTCTACAGATAGGACAATCTTTCCGTTTCTTATTCCACTCTTTTATACAGTGATGACAAAATGTATGCGTACAACTTAATGTCGTTGCTTTTACGAATAATTCTGAGCATATGGAACATGTTAACTGTTCATCCATAATATCACTCATTTTTCCAAGGACGCTTTCCTTAATGTTAGTCTCCAAAACATTTTGACTAAATTCAGTCAGATCTATTGTGTCTATTATTTGAAATTCTGGAATTTCATCACCCTCTAGGTTTAGAAATATACACTCTGACGTACTCGCGATAGCTTCGCTTGAAGTGCTTGCTGAAAAGAAAATTAATGATTTATATTCAGTTTTACTAATATAGATTAACTTTAATATAGATTAACTTTAAACTCGATTTAATCTATGTTAGTAAAAACCATTAATAATGAATGGTAAAAGATTATTTCAGAGTTTTTCCTCAAAAAGTACACTTGAAAAATAGCGGAAATTATGGAACAATCTGTATATATTTGTATTGTAAAAATTTGTAAAAACATACCATTCAATATTGTCTGTGATGTTTCAGCCTTTGCTTCCTGTGCTTTTAAAGCTTTCTCTGTTTCCTTTAGTCTTGCTTCTAACATATTTTTCTCATTCAATAACTGAGCTTGAATATCTTTTTCTTCTTTCATCTTATTTTCCATCATCTTTTTCCATTCGGCTTGTTGCTCTTCTCTCCACTTTTCCATCTGTTCTCTCATTTTTACTTCCAACGTTTCTTTTTCTTGTTTACTCATGTCTAATGCTTCTTGCCATTTCTGTTTCTCCTCATTTATTCTCATCTCAAATTGCATCCTTTCGTTTTCTAGTTTTTGCAATAACTCAGAATACATGTTATTCAAATGTTCCTCTTGAGCGTTGCACGCCTTTATTTTATCTTCTAACACCATAATTTGATTTAATAAATTCTTTTTATCATCTTTAGCTACAGCTTGTTGTGACAACAAGTCGTCAAGCTGTTGTTTCAATTCGATTTGCTCCTTTTGGTTTATTTCAAGCTTGTTTTTCAGCTCTTTCCTCTGACATTCTTGGCTTTCGGCAAATGTCTTCTGCTTGACAAGAACAGTGTCGAGTATCTTTTCGTCTATACGTGGCTTTTTAACACAGTGCTCTCTTTCGGCAAAAGTAAATAAATATTTAAACGTTTCATTAGGACTAAATTGTATACTATCACCAGGATAGATATTTTGTACTTTTTCAGGTTCCATAGCAACATTGTTAACAAATGTTTTGGTAGAGCTTAAATCTTTAATTGTCCATTCATCTTGGCCTTCACACTTAAAAATACAATGTCTCCTAGATATTATGGTATCCAATATAATCTCATCATTGTCTCTTGCACGTCCAATTTTAAACTATATGAAAGAAGAAATTGTTTTAAATATTCATATTACTCAAACAAGCCCTTAATCTAACAAATAAATAAAAAATGTAGTAAATTAGTACAAAAACATATTATATTAACTACATAAACTTCTGATTGAAAATATTAAATTTTTAGACTAATAAGTGATATGATAAACCATCTTTTATCAAATAAAATAATTTCAAGATTTAACTTTTCATTAATGCATTATAATAAATTCACATATTTTGTAATAAAATTATAAAGAAATTTATAGCATATTTAGATAATATAAGAATGTTGTATGTTGAATTTTTCTCAGAGAAATCAATTAAGAGTGATTTTTTAAAGATTTTATATGAACCATGCCTAGACTCGATTGAATATTCATTTACCTCGTTTTTGTCAATACGTATGCATTCATTCGTGTCAGTTTTTATTAAAACCGGTTCGAGAATTTTTAGTTCCTCGTTAGGTGACGTGGCCCTTTTCAACTTTTCCATTATTTAATATCAATTTATAAACGCCTCAGTTGTGTCAAAACTATAGACAACATAATAAACAATTCGTATTTTATTGCTTAATCAAAACATCCTAAAGTCCTTTTATGAAGTCTAGCTCTAATGACGCTCGCTGTCATCAAATTTAATCTAGGAATAAGATAAATCCTTTCCTTTTTCTTCTTTGAATTGAAATCTGACACTAATTCGTCTGTGAATCGATCTTATAACCAATCGACAAGAATACTCCGCAGCAAACATGCCTTGTTTGAACAACAGCAGAAGAAACCGAAAGTTTTGTCCGCGTTGTATGCACTTTCTGCACTCAGTGCAGATAATGGATGCATTGGCTCCGTTCATCGGAAATGATCTAAAAAAGCAATGGGAGCCTTCCATTTAACCACGTTGCTTTTTCTTCTTCTTATTCCTTTTTAATAGCCAAGACTTACTCTAAAGCCAATACAGAGGGTCAATTGTGTATTTTGAAACGAGGTGAAAATTACAAAAGTGAATAAATTTACTAGCTTTTGACGTATGAAGTTGCAAATACTCTAGTGAATTTTATCACTTTTATAATTTCATATCATCTTGTTTCAAAATACACGATTGTCTCCTACGCCATACGTATTTATTGATCATGTTGCAATTAAATACGTCCACTCACATCGGCCGGAGCTTAGGAATTTTCTAGTGGACCACCTATTAAAAGATCTAATATTTAATCGAACAATCGGCAACGTGAACAATTGGACACCACTCTTTAGATTGTTAAAAACGTTGAGAACATATGGCTTAGATATATTTATAAATGTAAACAATCAAATCCTCTAACAGGAAGAGTACGAAAAATTTAATTGTATTTAAAATCCTTTGCATTTTTAGGAAAGAAATAAAATAGCAAGACAAAATTTTAAAAAAGTAAAGAAAGTTGCGTGCACTTTATTGAATTAACATGATATACAATAATCATAACAAATAATATTTAAAGTCGAATCGTGAATTGTTCAATATCATGAATCATCATCAGTAATAGATACAATAGGATAATCGTATTGCTTTGATTGTTTCTTCAAAGGTTTGGATTCCGTGTCTTTAGTATTCATAGCAAAATGTAAGACCTTTTTATTTGACTCTTTTTGTTCATTCGTGGAATCTGCTGCTGACTTTTTTGACGATTCTGTTAAATTTTCTTGATGTTTATTATCTTTCGGCATATCACAAGTAGATTTTGAATCGCAAGTTTTTTCAAAATTTACATTATCAGAAATTTTGCAATTCTCAATAGCTTCAAGTAAGGCTTTATTGTCATCATTTGCCTGTTCCATTTCCAAATGCATCTTTATAGCTTGAATTTGAGCCTAAAAGATACAAAAGATATTCTACATGAAAAATCTTAAAAATCGGGATATCTTTTTTTTAAAGACAGGAATACTTGCCTCCAAAGACATCGCTTTAGATCGCCAGTGACGAAGTTCTTTCGAAACATTGTGATTTACTTCTTCTTGTCTTAGTATTTGCATAGCCTGCTTTTCAATTTTTTCATACAATTCCTTCATTTCTTTTTTCTTCGCGGCTAATAATGTTTGAGCGTAACTAAAGATTAATATTTATGTTTAAGATTCACAGCCATCTTAAATTATGATGATAGAAGCAAAAAATAATTGACAGAATAAATTTATTAATATTTATTAATTTATAAAATATATTGAAAATTCTTCTTTTATTCAGTAATTAATAACTATAAATTTAAATTCAAATTATGTCTAATAAGAGTCAAGAATAAAGCTACAATTTAATTTTAGATTAGAATTTATGGTTATTTATTGTTTATCAAAGCGGAACAATTTTTATTCTATTTTACGAGACTATTAATTGTAAACATTATTTTATTAAAAAATATTTTTATTATATATCTTGTAACAATTTTCTCATTTTTTCGTTTCTGACGTCATCAATCTAGATATCCATAATGAGTGATCAGAATATCTAAATTTTGTGTGTGTGTAAAATTAATATATCATGCACATACATTAATCCAAATTCAAATAAAATCATTTTTAACTTACTTAAAAGCGTCATCTGTTGACTGTATTTCTTCCACGTTATCCTTTTTTATTTTCTTTAATTTATTTTCAAGTTCAGACACTCTACTCTTATACTTATTTAGAAGATCTGTATTCTCTTGCAATGTATCAATTGCATCACTCTCCCATTTTCTAGCCATAACAGCCTTCTCTGCTTTCAACAGTTTGATTTCGGTCATTTTCGCATTTAGCGTTCGTTTTTTTTCTTTGTATTTAGACTGGAGTGACTTCATTTTATCTAACAACATCAGCCGATTATCTTCAACCTCAGCAAATAAAGAATTGCCTGAAATATTATAAATTCTGGCTAAACTTATGGCTAACTAAAAATTAAACTTTAATGATCGATTTTACCTTTACATGTATCACTAGCAGGAATTATATTTGATAATTGCGATTCTACAAGCTTTGTGGTTAGTATCGTAATAGATTCCCGTGCACTTTCTAACCCGTTGCTTTTCTCCTGCAGTTGGTCTAATGTCAACTATTAAAAGATATATCCAATTAGTTTTATAGCATAATTAATAAATACAAATCTTAGCTAGTTATTTACTGTAAAAGATTCTTTAAGCTCCTTATATCGGGCCTCTACAAATGCAAGTCTATTTTCCATTGGCTCTCTTTTCTTTTCTTCATTTTGAAGAAGCAATGTTAGTTCCTTAATTTTTTCTTCATACTGCAGTAATAAAGTATCATCCATAGAAGTGAGACAATTTGGTTGTTCATTTGTAAGATCTTTATATTTTCTCAACTCTTCATGCAATTGCTTAATTTCTAATGTGCTTTGTACTTTGTTTGCTTCCAAATCTGCAATATGATTTTCATATTCTTTTTTCTCAGCTCTGTGCCTGAAATATAAAGATATCAAATAGTTTTATTATTATACAACTAACATGACTAATATATAAATTTTACACGATGGAAAAAAAATAAAGAATAATCATCAAGCATTTAAAATCCAACTTTTTAAATACATTGAAGTATCATAAGTTTTTAAATAATAATTACACAAATAAAATCTAATGTAAAAAAAATTGCAAAGTATTTCCAAACAAAAGTAAGCTTGGTTGCAAGTACTTTGCCTACATAATTTTTCCAAACTCAGTAATCTTACTTTTCTTCCTTTTGGGCTAGCATTGATTCTGTTTTTGCTATGTATTGACTAAGCTGACTCTCCGCAGTTTCGACAGACTCCTGAAGATCCCTTCGAACCGCTTCGCCGGCTTCCAGCTTCAATCGCAAAACATACAATTCCTGCCGATAGCACTCGTTCTCTTGCTTCAGCTTTTTATAATCATCCTGACTGATCGAACTCTCTTCCAGATGTTCTTCCATTTTCGTATCATTCGTGCTCTTATCATACAATTCGGACATTTTGCGAGATTCCGCCGTTTCTCTTTCGATGAACTTCTGTCTTTTCGAGAACGATTTGAATTTTACCAAGGTTAGGTTTACTATTTTGAATTTATCGGTTATAGTGTTACCAATTCATTGAAAATTTTCCCCACTTGAATCTCAAATCTTACTAGATTTTAATTTATGTACAAATGTCAACTCAAATGTCTCTTGTAATTTATGCACAAAAATTGATTATTACAACATAAATAGACAAATTTAATCGAATATTAATTTCATGAACGAAATATAATATTTTTTTTTCTTCTCCTTTTGAAAAGATTAATATTTCAGTATAGCCAACTTTTTATTCTTATAAAATACATCCAAACATAATTGGTATAAAAAATTTTTGAAAAATTAATACACTTCAAAAAAATGTGGATATTATTGAAATATCACGTTTATTATGACTAAGGAGCATTATAATTATTGTGAATAATAAAGAATAGTAGTTTATCTATTCCTACTGTATCCATCATTTTAAATTCGTTGCTATTCCAATATACAAAATAATATATAATAAAAAATTTCTAAATATACAAAATAATATAAAATGAGATTTGTAGAAGTGAAAATTGAGCGTAATTGAATGTTTTTTTATCGACGTAGAACCTGTTTTATTATCTTTAATTAACTTGATCGATTAAATTTAAGAACCGTTAATTATAAAACTTGAAACTGATCATATTATTTTGTTTATCTTATCTATTTTCTACAAATTATAATTTATTTATAACTTTTAAATATAAAATATGATATTTTTAAATAATTTTAATTAAAATAATTAAGAAATTAGATTAACAATGATCAGTTTTAGGTTTATATTCTATTCTTGAATTTAATCGGTTTAATCGGTTTAATAAACTTGATTAGACATAGTGAGACTTTCTTAAGTTTAGTTCTACAGTACCTCTCTTAGGACCAAAGTTTCGGTGGAAATTAGTCCAGTGATATTTATTATCGTAGATAAAACTATTAACTTTGTTATGCAATACGTGGAAAAAAAGAGATTTTATGTTTAAAGACGACAAATTATTTGATTAAAAATTCCGCCAGTTGTAATGGTCGAAGTTAAAATTCAATGTCAAAATCGTTTCTAAGACAAAACTATACTGGTTTACGCCGTAAACTTTACGCCTCGGCATGTTTCACCCCCCGCCGTCGCACCCCCATACGACGGCGTCATCCCCACCACAGCGGCGTCTACCTCGAAGTCAGTGGCTCGTCGAGAAGGAGCAACAGGCGGACGTCACTCGTCTCGGCTCGGGTTGGCTCGGCCTGGTGCTTCGAGGCGAGATCCGACACCCGTGTGGCTGCGGGGGAAAAGTGGGGAGGAGGGGAATACCGCTTTTTCCCGTTCGGTGGCTCCCAGCGGGGCGCGGAGTTGCCAAAGCTGCGGTATCATTAGCGCGACGCAGGTTGTTGCCAGATCGCCGAACCGAGTCAACGTAACGCGACGGAGTGCTCGAAGCCAGTAATTCTCATCAGTACTCACACGGAGTTCGGGACGCAAGGTCGAGTCGGATCGTGGCTCTTCGAGAGGAGAAGAAACCGTGCGTCTTCTCCGATCCCTCCTCTCTCTCTCT